TGCTGGGCAAGGGCGGCTTCGGCGAGGTCTGCGCCTGCCAGCGCCGCGCCACCGGCAAGATGTACGCCAACAAGCGCCTCAACAAGAAGCGCCTCAAGAAGCGCCAGGGCTACGAGGTGGGGCCCCAGTGGGGACCCCCATGGGGTACGGGGTGGGGATGGTGGCCATCCTGGCCCCTTGGCCATCCCTCTGTCCCCTCCGCTGTCCCTCTGCTTGGCGTGCGCCACCCACGTGCGCTTGGCATGTGCCACCTGCCTCTCCTTGGCATGTTCCTCCCATGTTTTCCTTGGCGTGTGCCACCTTCGTGTCCTTGGCATGTGCCACCTGCATGCCCTTGGCATGTTCCTCCCATGTTTTCCTTGGCGCGTGCCACCTTCATGTCCTTGGTGTCTGCCACCTGCATGCCCTTGGCATGTGCCACCCATGTTTTCCTTGGTGTGTTCCACCCGCATGTCCTTGGCGTGTGCCACGTTCATGTCCTTGGCACATGCCACCCATGTTTTCCTTGGTGTGTGCCACCTTCGTGTCCTTGGGATGTGCCACCTGCATATCCTTGGCACATGCCACCCATGTTTTCCTTGGCGTGTGCCACCTTCGTGTCCTTGGCATGTGCCACCTGCATGTCCTTGGCATGTTCCTCCCATGTTTTCCTTGGCGTGTGCCACCTTCGTGTCCTTGGCATGTGCCACCTGCATGCCCTTGGCATGTTTCTCCCATGTTTTCCTTAGCGTGTGCCACCTTCGTGTCCTTGGCATGTATCATCCATGTTTTCCTTGGCATGTGTTCATCTATATGTCCTTGGAATGGGCCACCCATGTTGCCTTTGGTGTGTACCACCTGCATGTCCTTGGTATGTCCTTGGCGTGGGCTGGACCATCACCAGCTGCGTGCCCTTGGCGTGTGCTTGGCATGTGCAGGCGGCGCTGGTGGAGAAGCGGATCCTGGCACGGGTGCACAGCCGCTTCATCGTCTCGCTGGCCTGCGCCTTCCAGACCAAGACTGACCTCTGCCTCGTCATGACCCTCATGAACGGCGGCGACCTGCGGTAAGCATGTGCTTGGCGTGTGCCACACACGTTCCTGCTGGAGGTGCCTCCCAGCAGCATCTGGCATGTCCTTAGCATGTCCTTAGCATGTGCGGCTGCCATATGCATGCAATGAGGATGAGGCCAACCCTGGGTTCTCCATACCACGTCCCCCAGCGTGTCCCCAGATGCTGGTGTGTCCCCGGGTGCTGGCGTGTCCTTAGCGTGTCCTTAGCATGCGGGGGTGCCACGCATGCGATGCGGATGATGTCAACCCAGGCTCCCCAAGCCATGTCCCCAGCGTGTCCCCAGGTGTTGGCGTGTCCCCAAGTGCTGGCGTGTGCTTAGCGTGTGCTTGGCATGTCAGGTACCACATATACAACGTGGACGAGGACAACCCCGGGTTCCTTGAGCCGCGGGCCGTGTTCTACACTGCCCAGATCCTGCTGGGGCTGGAGCACCTGCACCAGCACCGCATCGTCTACCGCGACCTCAAGCCCGAGAACGTCCTCCTCGATGACGCCGGTGACGTTGGGATGGGGGGGACGTTGGGGACGTTGAGGCATGTGGGGACATCAGGGACATTGGGGAGGCATGGGGCCATTGGGGGATATGGGGACATCAGGGTCTTCAGGGACGTTGGGGGATATGGGGACATTGGGGGGCGTGGGGGACATTGGGGACATCAGGGACATCGGGGGGTGAAGGGACATCATGGGGATGTGGGGGCATGGGGACGTTGTG